GGGGGGTGTTACTCCCGTCGTGGAGATGGATTACCAGGAGCACTGGGAGACCTCTCTCGCAGCGCTCGCTTGCACTTCAAAGTGCTGCTGCGGGAGCAGCGGTTTGAAGTTTCTAGTGTAGACGGAGCCTCAGATCAACTTAACTATTCTGCTATAGGGTGTGAATTTTTCACAACCAACTCTTGTAGTTAAATCAACCTAATTTTTTCCATGTAGACCACGCCTACTGCTCACACTGTCTCTCATAAAAAACATACTTAAAACAAAAATTCTGTTCTAGCCACCTACATTAATTACAATGCTCTCATCTTAAATGTGGTGGACAATTAGGAAAAACTGAACAGTTTAGTTAGGGTACTAAAGAACTTGCCGCCTTGGTTTTTGTCCTCAAAGAGCATATTTCTGTCTCTGTTCAAACGTGTTTGTTTGACTACAGCCAGGTTATTGCCCAGGCTCAAGTAGAAGGACTTAGGTCTTTTTATACTGAGGTTCTATTTCTAAAAGTTTTTAAAAGACTATCAAGTCTGTGAAGCAAAGAAATGTGCTATTGTTTAGGCACTTTAATATTTAATATGTACTTGATACCAATCTTTGTAGGCAAAGTGATTTAAGATTTGCTACTCGGCTTACTTTTAGAAGCGGATTTACGTTAACACCCCACTATAAAAGATTATGGAGTAGCTCAAGTAACGTTGACAACAGTATCTAAGCGTGAGCACATATTAACTGGAGCTAAAGTGTTAAACAGAAAGTGCAGCATTTCTAATCCAGAAACTCAGGCAGTGTAGGTCACACAATTAGTACAATGGAAAACTCTTTAAAATACAGTCCAGGGAAATGGAGCACATAATCGCTATAAATGACAGACTACAATAAATGGCAAGGGGATGTGAAATGGATGCACGAAGAACACAAAAGGCAAATCCAATAGGGCTCGTCACAGCTCTGCCCCTTCCTGCGAGTGTAGGTGAGCTCTGAAAGTGCACTGGCAATACCGGGGCCCAGTCCGCCCTTCTCATGCAGGCCCCGCTCCTGGGGGGTCGCCAAAGCGGACACTATCCAGCAGGAGCACGTCTCCCCGCTCCTGTTCCCGAGCCCCACCGTTATCGAAATATCGACACCATCGCTCCCTCTCCTCCTGAGAGCCCCCCGCCCCCGGGCGCACTCCGCCCCTCACTAGCGACCACTCCTCGGACTCCCGCCGGCGAGGTCCCTGGGAGCCCTTCGCCCAGCCAGCGGGGGAAAGCCCGCAACTCCCCGCCCCCGGCGGGGCTCCCCGCGGCTCCCTCACCTCCCAATGCCTTTGTCCATGAGGCTGAGCTCCCCAAGCACGGCGCCAGCCCTCGCCATGTTGCCGCGGCTCTGCAGCCTACAGGAGGCGGCCAGGCAGCCAGCAGCGGATTCTGGCGCCTTTCACTTTAAATCTCCCCAGATCCAACGACATCGCTGGGAGTGGGGCTTTACGGCTGGGTCAGAGGCCGTTACGACATAGAGCGGTAAAGCAACCCCCCACCGCAGGCCGTCGCGATTCCTCCTCCCCTCCCAGAGAGAGGCCGGTGGCGCCGCCCCCGGAACAAGTTCCTGCCGAGACCTTGTAGTCTCTGAGCATGCGCATTAACGAATGTCACGTGGCTCTGTCTGCCCTCGTGTTGGTCGCGCTGCTGGGGCCGCTGACCTGTGGGCTGCAGCATGACTGGGAGCCTTAAACCCGAGCGCCCCAGTGTAGATGTGACTGCTATAGCCCCTGGTTGCAGCCCGGTAATCACGGAGTTGGTGCGAGGCAAGGCTGTGGTGCTTGCAGTGCAGAATTTCTGCATTGCTAACCCTTAGTGTTCAACCACCAGGAGGAGTCAGACTCCCAAACTCAGGAGATTTGTCATAGTGACTGGGGAATTTTTCATTTGCTTTCAGTATACCTAAAGTATACCATGTTAATTCTCTAAAGCCCTTTTATTCCCAAGACATCAAGGTTCTCCAGTTTACAGCCCAGGAGAGAGACAAAGCTGAGTGGCCTGAAGGAGTCTATTATGATGGGAAAAGCAATGGTGGTGTGGAAGAGGTGAGCCTCTCCATGACCCTTGGGCATAAGCAGCGGCAGCAAATCCAGAAGCTGTGCATCAGTTTCACACCAATGTTTTCAGCCACCTCAGGAAGGACAGATAAAGCAAGCAAAGAACAGCTACCAAGAGGGATTTTACAGCTAACTGGCTGGCTGGGTGTCCATCAAAAGGAACTCCTCTGCACTTCATTCATCACACCTGCGCTGAGGACACATTGACCATTCCACTGAAGGGCCACCCGGAGCAGAGCTGTTGGGAAAAGGGAGAGAGTCTTGGGTCAAGGGCCCACTTTCCATAGGTGGCAACGAGGCTGCTGTTCTGCTACGCACAAAACCCTGAGCCAGGACTTATACAAAGTCTTTAGAGCCAGATTCGCCACGAACATGAGCTGTGCTCTGCTTGAGTGGCGGCTCCATACCGGCCACGCTCTGCTCCCCATATGAAGGGATCTGCGCACCCAGCCCGGCCCTCCGTGTTGCGGTGCAGCACTGGCCTTCTTCCATGCCAGTGGATTTCAAAGGCAGGGGTCATGTGCTAGGCGGCCGAGGTAAATCATACCCCTGAGGGCATTCTGCACCAAAAAATTAAAAATTCTGCACACAATATTTCAAAATTCTGCAAATTTTATTTGTCAAATAAATGTGGAGGTTCCAGCATGGCATTTGGGAGAACAGGCCACTAGCTGCACAGAGGTGGGAGATCACTGTGCAACTCCCCCTACCCCACGGACATGGGTGTAGGAAGTGGGGGAGGGATGTGGTAGTGGTGGTGGGTGTTTACAGAGCTTCCTGCAGCTCGGAGAGAAATATAGGGGTGGCTGTAACTCGGCACAGGAGGCTCTGCAGGGGAAGAGCCCAGCCAAGACTAGCAGCTGAGCCCAGCGCAGGATAGGACCCTCCAAAGGCTGACTATCGATCTTCTCTTGGTCTCCCGTCTCCCCTCCCCGACCATGCCTACCTAAGTGATGCTGCACCTGCAACGATTATGCGCTCAAGGCAGCGGGCACATTGACAATGTCCCAAGAAGTCCATGTTCTGCTGGGCCAGCTTTTGGGTGCGTGCCAGAAAGGATTTAAGTGGTTTCAAATAATAACAGACAGAACAAAGTAAGTTACCAAGCAAAATAAAGCAAAACACGCAAGTCTCAGCCTAATACGTTTAAGAAACTGAATCCAGGTAAATCTCACCCTCAGAGATGGTCCAATAAGCTTCTTTCACAGACAAGACTCCTTCTTAAACTGGGCCCAATCCTTTCCCCTGGTACAGTTCTTGTTAGTTCCAGCTCAGGCAGTCACAAGGGGTTTTTTCATGACTGCTGCCCCCTTTCTTCTGTTCCACCCCCTTTTATATCTTTGGCACATGGTGGGAATCCTTTGTCTCTCTCTGGGTTTCTAAATGGAAGGGCACTGGGTTTAAGATGGCTTCCGGTATCATGTGACATGTTCACATGTCCTGTGAGACTTCATTACTCATTGGCTGGCACCCATGTATACAGGAAGGCTTACAAGTAAAGAGAGCCATTTACAACCAAGTGTCCTGGTCAATGGGAGCCATCAAGATTCTAAACCACCATTAATGCTTTGCTTAACTACACTAGGACTTCAGAGTAATACTTCATATTTCTGGCTTCAGATACAAGAATGATAGATTCATACAAATAAGATGAACACACTTAGTAGATTATAAGCTTTGCAATGATACCTTAGAAGAGACCTTTTGCATAAGGCATATTTCAGTTACATTATATTCACACTCATATGTTTATGGAAATATGCTTATGGAGTGCAAGCTCACACACCTCACCACTGGGGGACATCAGGCCCAGCCAAAAGCTGCTATTCAGGCCCTAGTGAGAGTTGAACTCATGACCCCTCATTTACAAGACCAATGCTCTAACCCCTGAGCTACGGAGCCAGGCCCCATAGTGTCTTTCCTCACCGACCACGCCTACCTAAGTGATGCTGCGCTGCCATGGTCACGCGCTCAAGGCAGCGGGCGCATTGACGACGTCCCAAAAAGTCCTTGTTCCGCTGGGCCAGGCTTTGGGCCCTGGCCAGAATGGCCCTGCGGTTAAGGCATTTGACTTAAGTTCCAATAGACATGTGTCTGCGTGGGTTCAATCCCCA